CCAAGACAAAAGTCTCTATAGTCATCTGATATCAAGTCTCTTCCCAACGGTACATGGTAAGTGATCTTTACCAAAAATCATCAAGCACTATACAGATTAGAGCACTATAGAGGGCGACAATGACATTTTTAAATTCTCAGAAACCTACAACAAAATTTTGGGGCACTGTTTTCAAATATAGTTGCCTCCTGGATACTGAGTCTGAGCATGCAGTCCACTATACTTGCATCCCGTTTGCTAAGTGTTAACTATGAATTTTAGGCCTGTGGTTACCATTTCACCAGCCAAAGTACATGGAATGAGCCTTCCTGATCAACTGTGCACGGTCAACACAACTTATTTTTGGCCTTATCTGCAAAAAATGTAATAGATAACATTTAATAAGCTTATCACTGTGCTGAGACTGGTGTAATATGAGTTTGATTTAAGAAATAGGAAGTAATTAAGAGTGTATATAATTGCATCGGGAAGACGAATTTTACTTGTATTTTGTGTACGAGTGACAATAAAAGATTCTTGTATCGTGTTTATTACTTAAAGAACCTCTGATCTTATAGGCAGTGATGAAATCAAGCGTGGTATTCTTTTGATGTTATTTGGCGGTGTTCCGAAGAAAACAAAGGAAGGTACAAGTCTACGTGGGGATGTAAATATATGCATTGTTGGCGATCCCAGCACGGCCAAAAGTCAGTTTTTAAAGTAAGTGTTTACATAAATTGGGTTTTTTAACTGACTTTGGGATGTAGAGAAAGTGATGGTGGGGTTGAAATATATAGTATGGATTTCATTTTGGGATTTTTCTTTGCTGAGGTGAATTTATACTGTAGAAGCTTTTACAAACCTAAATGGTATTAAGTGAATATGAAGCTTGCCTTCCCAAAACCAGTTTGCTAGATGTTGAATTGAGTAGTTAGCATGAATGTGACAGTATTGTAGGCCTATACTTTAGTGAAGAGAAGCCGCAATAGATTTACTCATAACTTTGGCAATAATAAGTCGATCCCAGTAAATGACCTATCATTTTAAAGCTTATAATGTGGAGGATACGTTCTGTTTTGATCACTGATGTTGGTTCTGTCATGGCAAGCCCTATACACTTTGTCAAAAGGTTAATTAATTAATTAAATAAATGAAAAATTGTATAGCTTGAAAACCTCTGTTTTTCTTATCTAGAGCGGTTGAGGACTTCAGTCCGCGTGCCGTTTACACGAGTGGAAAGGCAAGTACAGCAGCAGGTCTAACAGCTGCTGTTGTTAAAGA